GAGGCACTTTCAGGGTCCAGCAACTGGGATGTTTGCATGGTGGCTTTGGCACAGCCACCGTAAGAAGTTCCCTTTGCTCCAGAGGCAGCACGAGGCAAAGTGCGGCGATGTCTCAGACGAAGGCAGGGATGGAGAAAATTTCAAATCAACTCTTGGACTCCATTAGTAGCCAAGAACTCAAAAGCTTCGGAGGAAAGCTGACTCCGCTTTGCATTTCAGCCCTGGGGTAAAGCTCCTATATGCTCCACATCAGACAGAGCAGGGACTGCAGATCCAGCCCAGCTGTAAATCCCACTGTAAGAAGGTCATGGATGCTGGCAGAAAGGGCCCTTCCCTCTGCAGAGGAGCTTGCCCACAGCCTCTCCACAGCTCTCGGCTGACCCCCAGCTCTGGCTCAGCGAGCCACTGTCCTCTCCTCAGCCCTGTCCCAGACTTACTTCCTCCAGTTCCAGCGCTAACTTTTGCCTCAGCGCTTGCTCCTTCTCCACAAGAGCTTCATTTTGCTCTAGCTGAGTTTTCAACTGCATTGAGAGGGAGAAAAGACCCAGAAAAAAATATTAAAAAAACAGCACTAAGGACAGAGATCAACGAGGGGAGACGTTGCCATGAAAGCTGGGCTACACAGAAGAAACACAACCTGGAGCTTTTCCCAAGGCACGGAAAGACCGTAGGCACCGGTATCCCCTCCTCTCTGCACAAAAGGCGAGAGGACGCCAACGGTGGGCCCAGGGCTCAGTTTTGCATTGCCAAATTTTGCCCGCTTGCGGGGCAGCACAAGCTGGGACTCAGGACAGGAGGTGAAACATAGCGGAGGACATATCCGACAGGTGCCCGCGCTGCGCCAGCTGAACGGCGCCCTGGGGAAGGCTCCACAGTTCGTGGGATTAAAGGAGAGAACCGGAGTCTTGCCCATGGCAGCAGCCAGCTACCAGCAAGAGGTGTTAGCCTGGAAGAGAACAGTCACCGCTAATTCCTTCAGCCTGACACCAGCAAGATGGACAGAGCCTCTGCGCTGAGGCGGGCGCCGTAATCCTAATCCCCAGAGAAGGCCTCCAACTGGGAACGATGCCCAGCCCAGCTGCGTCGGGGCATCCGCTTCCTCAGTGGGGTCTGGCCTTCCTCCGAGGCAACCCAAGCGATGCCCTTCCCGGTTCAGCGCTCGAGGGTTGGCGGCGTCCCTGCAGCGGCGCTCCCCGTCTGCCTCCCCAAACCAGCCTGCCCCCGTGCCGGAGGGTCCCCCAGGGGAACGGCGTCAGCAAAGCCGGATGGCGACGCTTTTCCAGCGGGAGTAGGACGGGTGGCTAAAGGGGCTGGCGTCTGGCTTCCCGCGACCTGGGTGGACACGCGCCACACACACGGGACAGAAGACAACCCCGCCCTGAGCAAAGCCACGTGCAGGTTTCCATGCTGTTAGAGACGGTGACACAAGACAAGGGACATGGTTAGGGGGGCCAGTGCCTTCGTGGGCAGCAGTCTCACCACCCTAACCTCGAGGGGCGCGGGGTCGCTTTGGTCAGCTTGTAACCCCACTACTCCATCCTGCGCGTGGCTCTTCATCTCACTCAACTGCTGCCTGACCTGCAAGGAGGACCAGCAAGCCTGGCTCAGTTACGCACCCACATGCAGCAGCCATTACAAGACCCACAGGGACCTACAGACAATGCTCATTGTTCTTCTGCTTGCACGTGAGCAAAAACGTTTGGAAAATCATCTCGGGTTTGGCTAGACAACGTGTAGCGTAGCTAACCTGGGCAGTTTAAGACATTATGGCTCCCAGGTGTGCAGACCTGCTCACACCTCATCTGCTCTTGGTTAACCACTCAGTCCTTTGGCGTAAAGCCACCACCAAAGGTTTGTACTGACACAGTTGGGCTGTTAAACGAAGCAGCCAAGGCAGGGTGGTGCGTTCAGGAGAAGGAAGGGAAGGTTGCCAGATGAACACAGATGCGTTCAACACTTACAACTGCTTGTCCATTTAATTACAGTTAATGACTATGCAGCAGCAAGCACTCTCGAGAGGAAAGGGCTGCACGGGCTTAAGTGAGCCGGATGATAACAACTGCAACGCTCAGAAGAGTTGCAGCACCAAGGAGAAGCTGAAACCGAGGCACCGGGTGGTACCTCCTGGCTTGTGCTGCTCTGAGCAGGTCTGCAAACCAGCGATACCACCTCAAGATCTCAAAAACAAGAGCTTTGAACGAGGGGATCTCCTGACCCTCCGCTCACTGCAACAGGGCTTAAGGGAGCCCTGAAGGGCTGGAGCCTGACGCTAACAGACTCCTAGACCTTGTGGGTGAGCTTAGGCTCCAAAGAATGAAGCATTTAAATATGAGAAGGCAAAGTAGCAGCTTCTGTTTCACAACCAAAAATGTAATTAAAATTCAAAAGCCTTCATAATTTTGGCAGTTTTTTGGCTCTCCAAGCCCTCCGTCCCAGTCCTCTCGCCCACTTACCTGCAGAAACTTCACCTCATTCTCAAATTCTCCAAGTGATTCCCATACACATGGGACACACGACCCAGGTCCTCCCATCCAGGGGTGGACTGATGGACCCTTAGCGCACTCAACCTCCTGCAATCATAGGGTCCATAGCAGCAAGAGCTGGGGTTTCTGCCAGCTTGCTTAAGCCTTGCTGTTCTCCCTTCCTTCCCAGCTACCTTCACACAGGAGGAAAGGCAGGCTAATAAAATCTTTTCCTGGCTCACAAACATCCACTTTAAAACTGGATCCGTTTTGTGTCCAGAAGTACCAAGTTTGCCTGTGTCCTGGCTGTACGTTCCTCCCCTCTCCGAACCTGCAGCGAGGAGCAAGGTGCCCCGAGGCAGACCAGCCCTGGGTCCCAGCTTGCGAACTGCCCCGCAGCAAAGCGGCCAGCCTGCATGCAGCTCTACCGGTCCCAGCAGTGCGGCTGCAAGTGTCCCCCCCTTACCAGGGCCAGCTCCTTGCTCTGCTTCTGTGTTTCCATCTTCGCTGTCTCCAGCTGCTCCTGGGACTCTGATAAGAGCTGCCTCAGCTGACAAGGAGAAATGGAAAACAGGTAGCAAATGATAGCACTTAGGGCTTCAGTTTTTCCTCCCACTCATCCCTCCAAGCCCCTGCAGACCCCGCAACGTCACACAACCACCTAGCCCAGCTGTGGCTCCTCTCTATCCTGCCTTGCTGCCCTCTGCTTCCCCAGCCCAGTCGCCCCAGTGCTCTCAGCAGGGCAGGGGAAAGCAGCCCATTTATGCACTTGGTTTCAGAGCCCTTTGGCCCAGGGAACCATTTTTATAATGCAGCATCTCCTCAAAAAGACCATGACGGCATCACTTGTTAACCTGCTTGCTGAAGCCTGCTCTGAGAGATGGAGACAACCACGAAACAGCTTTGCCTCACCTGAGCCACAGAAATCCCACAGTCTGCAGGCCACTGAGGAGCAGCAGGGAACGTCTCCATACGGATCCCCCTGCCCCATCTCCCTACCAACAAATCTCCTGACATTAAATGTCTACAACCCAGACCGGGGCAAACATCTCCAACCACCTTCCCCTTCTGGTTCGCAAAGCTGTGAAGGCCCAGGGCACTCTCCAGAAAGCCCCTCTTTGCAGATGAGGGATGAATCAGGCTTAGAAGAACGAAGAAAGCAACGTAAGAAAGCAACAGCCCCAACCCACTTACAACTTCGACTTCTTTTGTATAGTTTTGGCGTTCAGAACTGGCCGTCTCCAAGTGATTTTCCAGTTGTGCTTCCAGAAGAGAGGTGTATTCTTTTAGCTGGATTAAAAGGAAAGAAAGCAGAAGGATTTGACTGTGTTGAGGTGCAACACTTGGACAACAGCATCCCAAACACACCCCGCGCTGCATTCTCCAGGGCAAGTCAGGAGACCAGCCCTGACTCAACCCAAGCACAGCACACATCCATCTGGCACCTGCGCAGGGCATGCAAGGAGACCTGGCACAGCCTGGGCCTTCTCCAGTAGCCAAAAGACCTACCTGGTCTGTGCTCTGCAGCTCTGCTTTCAACTTCTCTACCATGTCTTCAACGGATTTCAACTGGACTTGTGACTAAGCCAGAAACGATCAGAAAAGGTCAGTAAATAGTGTTTCACTTCGATCCTGAACATGTTTCACACAACTAAAAACTGCCCAGTGGTTCGCTCCCACCTCTTTTGCTTCGTCCCGCACCCAAGCACAAAAGAGTCCTAACACCAAACTGGAGCTCCATGGCCTGCAGCCAGCAGGAGCTGCTCTTCCCAGGGAGCTTCAGTCCAATAAGCCGAGGTTGTAAATTGGGGAGCAAGGTAACAGCTTTTGCGTGCAAGACTTGAATTGGCTGCTGTCAGCTTTCAACACTCATGAAGCTGGCACCAAACCCAGCGCAAGTTTCCTATCAAAAGTGTCTCTGCTTTGGAAGCGGCAAGGTATTTTTTCCAATGAGGCATCATGGGTTTTGCTATTAAGAAGAGCCATGCCATCCAAAAGCTCGAGGCATGGGGTTTGCATTTAAACTTGGATTTATTTTTGAAGAGGACTTCACAGTTGCTGAATACTTTGTAACGGAGGAATTCATCTTTTCTCCACAGAGAGGCAGAACAGCTCTGGGGCCTGCCCTAGCCACGACATTCACCCTGTCATGCACACTGACCATGCACTGACCATCAACACCAGCAGCCACAGCACCTCCATGCAGTCCTACGCTAGATCTTGGTGCAAGGCGGCCGGCAGCACTGGGACTTCACAAGCCGATAACAGGCTGAGAATTTAAAGGCTTCTCGTACAATAGCTCCCTTCACCTCTTGGCAGTTCCAATTAACTTAACCCCATTGTGACAGGGAGCAACGAGGCTGTGAAAAGTAACTTCATTTCAGTTCTGCATTTAAAAGGAAGGAGATAACTTAAGTCAGCTCTGCAAGAAGGCATGACCATCCAATCCTCCTAGGCACCAGCTAAGCCCCAAGAGCTCATGAAATATGCTCCCCTCAACACTCCTGGGCAGCAGCGGCTCTCTGGCAGCTGCCAGCTGGTGTTTTAATCAGCAAGAGTGTACCCAGAGCTAGACAAACAGCTGGAGCAAAAACTGCACACAGCACGTGCCTTGGACTTCAGCTCCTTTCTGAAGCCTCAACCAGCACCAGAGTTTGAAAGCAGGCCAAGTTCTTCTAAAAATCAGATTCTTGGAGCACTGCACATGCTCTGTTGCAGTCAAGCCAAGGGACTCTGCCCGCAGAAGGACTCAAGCCAGACTCCCAAGCTGCAGAACTTGGATCACTGAAACAGTAACACGGTTTCCTAACTACCATGACTGAAGTGGAGACCTGGAACAATTCCTCCTGCTCCACTGGAAGGACCTAGGCACACACCAGACAGCAAGGTGGGATCCAGGAGGAGGAGGGTATAACCTGTGGCTCACCATGGCAGGAAGCCATCAGCTTTGAAGTGGGGTGGCATTCTCATCTGTCAGTTTTGAGACAAGAGGGATGGAATCGGGGAGGAGAGAAAGTCCCCATGTTTCAAGAGTTCAAGGTTGGAAAGAACAACTAGGGTCACCACCTGATTCATAGCCAACAGCCTCTCTACTCTAACAGTCCAGCTCCATGAGCCTTCAGGTGCTCATGCGCCATCAGCACATGAGCAACAGACCCAAAACACGCACCTTTTGTAGCTCCTCTTCAGACACTGTGAGCTTTGCTTTCCACACTTGCTCCTCCTCCTCCACGCTCTTCTGCAGGTCTCGCAGCATCCCTTCCTGTTGGCAAAGCCCCAGCTGAGACCAAGCCTCCTCCCAGCCCTCCTGAGGGCACCGCAGCCACTGTCAGGGCTGGACACCCTGGACGTGCTGGAGGAAGTGAGGGTGACAGGCAGCTCAGTGCTGGACCTGGACTGAAGGCCACGTAGACACAGACACTGCAATACCAAACTTACCGTCTCTGCAAGGATAGCTCTGTACTGCTCACATTCTGCTTGTAAAGTGCTTTGCGCTTCCTCTGCCTCTTTCAATTTAAGTGCTGAATCCTGAAAGGGGAAGGGAGGGATGGAGGGAGAGATGAGGAAAAGAAATGAGTGGCTCTTCAGCGCTCCCTCGCCCCTCTGCTTTCCAGACCCTTCACCTACCAGGTGCTCTCTTGCAGTCAGGTGTTGCTTTAGCACATCCACTGCCTTCTCCTTAAACTCTTGTAGCCACGTATCATAATCCTGAGTTGGAAAAACAGGAAGAGGAGGGGAAGGGAAGAGAAAAGGATGCTTGGGTGTCTCTTATGCCTGTGTGGCAGGGGCCTGAAAAGCGCATGCCAACCTGCTGCAAGGAGATGGTGACTTCTGGGAAGGCAGACAGCAGCATCTCCTTGGTTCGCATCTGGAGCGTGTCAAGTTGTTGTTCCGATTCCTCCTGCAAGAGAGCCAGGCTGTCGTGGGATGGAGGCCTCCGGCACACACATGCCAGGCTGGAAACGCCAGTCCCGCTTTTCTATGCCTACGAGGGGGAACTGGCATGGGAAAACCAGTGGGCAGAAAAAACTACTACTGCTGCAAATCGCTACCACCAAAAATCGGTGAAACATCCTAGTTTAGCCACAGCACTCTGGGTTCTGGCACATTTTCCTTAGACCTCCAGACAGCAAAGGACTCATTCCCATTTCCTCTCCAAAAGTAAATGGAATTATGCTGGTTTGACAGTTATCATTTAACTTTTTTCCATGTTGCCACCTTGGAAGCAAAAGAAGGATTTGCTAAGATCTGTGTTATTCTGTCCAGTAGGTCCTCACATGCTCCTAGTTACCTGACCATGACCTGCACTGCAGAAATAAGTCCTTCAAGACAAAAAAAAGCCTAAGATGCAGCAGAAAGCTGTTGACATCTCCCTCCGTACAGCCGGGGGATGTCCTTTGAATGCCCCAGCTCTGCACAGCAAGGAACAAGAAGACCAATTTGCAAGAACAAAATCCAGCTTCAGCTGGGATTTGGTCCAGCTGCCAGGAGGATTAGGCCAGCACCGCTCCTCAGGTGGAGGCAGGCAACCCATGGCAAACAACTCTGATGGCTCAGTGAGGCTGAACGTTTCCCCTACAACACTGGCATCACTGCCAGAAACACCGAGCTCACCTTTGCTTTTGTGGTAGCACGCAGTTTTTCTTCGCATGCCTTCTCCACTGTGGCTAACGCTTCCATTGCTTTCCAGTTCTTCTCACGGAGGTCCTGCCGAGACCACACATACAGAAGGCAATTAGCCACGCTTTACACTGAAGGCCACCACGCTGCTCACTGGCATTGACTCCACAACGTGCTCGGGCAGTGGCCTTCTTGCAGGAGCAGAGCACAGCCAGGTGGAGACAAGAGCTCCAAAGAGCCCCTTGACCCTGTCAGGATAGGATCTCTCTTGCTTACTATGTCCTAAACCTCGTGGCTGTACAGAGGACAGACACCTCCACCCACGTGGCCCACTGCCTGCTGCCATAAGCCCATCAGCTCAAGCACCTGAGCTGTGCACCTTGCACAGACATCTGGTCTCCTGCCAGACAAAACGACACCCGCGATGCTCTGCATGGCTGAAAGAGCCTCCTGCTGCACCACGGAGCGATCGTTAGCTGACTACAATGAGCTGTCGCCCCTTGTTTGTGCCCTGAAGATCTGGCTTTTGAAGGAAAAGATCTTCAGCGTCCAAAGCTGAATCCAGTTCACTCACGTACGTTGTTTTTTGTCTTTTGCTGCTCCACTGTCTCCCTCAGCTCTGCCGCTTCCCTTTCCAAGGATGAGAGCTGGTCGGTTTTTTCTTCGAGCCTGGAACAGCATGATGCGGGAGTGAGTTTCAACCTCCACCTCCCTCCCAGGTAGCAAGCTCCAGAAAATGGGACTGCAGCCCTTCCTAACTCGGGGTCTGCTGCAGGCTCTGCAAACAGCAGGAAGTCACCGCTGCATGGGGAGAGTGAGCGGGACTAAAACCCGCAACTGCAAAAATGAAAGACCATCGCAATGCTGAAGTGGGATCTAGTTTTCTACCGACCTGTCAGCAATAACAACCAAGCGAGTAGTTGGCTGGCTGAATATCCAGGACAAGAGGAAGCAGTAACCTGATTCAAAGGCCACAAATTCCAGGTTACACAACTGAAACTGCTCCCAGCACGTCCCCTCCATGGCTCATTAGGCTGAGATAGCCCACAGCTCTGCATTTTAAAAGTATCATCTTACTATCTTGGGTAACCATAAATCAGGGCCACCAAGTAGACACATAAGAGCCTGCAGGTTCCCTCCATACCCTCAGATCCACCATCCACCCTGACAGGAGTCTCAGCTTGAGCAGACCAAAGAAGATGCAGTTCCTCAACATGAATTGCTCAGATTTCTTGGGGACCAAGGACCTGCAGGACCATCTGAGGTTACCCCCAAGAAATTCTTCCCCGCATGGACAGAGACAGACTCTTTCATCCAGCAGATAGATGAAAGGCAATGGGCATGAGTGGCAACATGGGAAATGCCAATTAGATGCTAGGAAACCTTTTTTCACCATGTATGTTTAAATATCGGAAGGGAGGGAGTAAGGAGGACGGAGCCAGACTCTTCTCAGTGGTGCCCAGCAATAGGACGAGAGGCAACGGGCACAAACCGAAGCACAGGAAGCTCCATCTGAACATGAAGAAAAACTCTAGGTGACCTTGCTTGAGCAGTGGGGTTGGTCTAGATGATCTCTAAAAGCCCCTTCCAACCTCAACCGTTCTGTGATTCTGTGTGAGGGGGGCCAAACACTGGAACCTGCACCCAGAGAGGTGGGAAATTCAAAACTTGCCTGGAAACAGCCCCAAATAGCCTGCTCTAGGTGGCCCTGCTTTGAGCAGGCGCTTGGGTCAGGGAAATCCAGAGGTCCTTGCCTACCTTCAGCATCAACACCATTTCCCTAGCCTGATTTTAAGGAGACGCCAGCCTTCGTGTGCCTGGCAGCAACTGAAGTGTCACTTCAGGATGGATTAGCTGTTATTTGGGGCCAGCGCTAGAACTGATTAATGCTGTAAACAGCTGCGCTGGCCAGGATTCACCTCAAGTTCCCAGCTTCCCAATCCCTCTCACCCTTCTAACGGAGGGAGCAGGAAGCCCTCACCCACAGGGATCAGCCTCAGGGGAAGTCTGGGACATTCAGACAGCAAGTTTTAGGTGCTGTGACAGCCTGCTGTGTGTTAGACAGCATCGAGGCTCACCTTAACCGCAGCTGCTTCATTTCTGCCTCATTGGCTGCCTGGAAGAGAGAAAACACCGTCATTACCTGTCTCAGAGACCTGAAGCAGACCAGCCCTTGCAGATGGCATCCCAGAGGGGATCCATCATCAAAGATAATGCAGGTGCTAAGGTCACCGTGCAAAACATCTGGTGCTAAGAGCCGAACCACATGCTGCCAGCTGGGAGCTGCAAACAGATCTGTACAAACAGGTCGGTGCAAACACATCTCTTGCACATCCCAGGCTGGCACTGAGCACCACCTCTCCTGCACACTCCCACCCCCAAATTAAGAGAGCATCTGACCTGCAAGTCTCTGTCCTTTTCTGCCTCCCTCATCTGGCCCGCTTCCAGCAGAGCTTCGATGGATTTGATCCTCTCCACAAGCTTCACGTTCTCTGAGCTGGCATCCTGCAGTTTCCCCTTCAGGCTGTCAAGCTCCGACAATCTGCTTTTAACCTCCGCTTCGGAGCTCAGCAGCTTGGCCTGCAGTTCTGTTAGTGGAAGAGGGGAGAAACCTAAGATGGTAGGTGCAATCACATTCAGGGACTCTCCTCCCCTGCCCCAGCAGGGCCCTTGGGCAAAGAGGCCTCAGCCACGAAGAAGAGAGGGACGTTGGAATGGCATCCCAGGAGAGGACCAAGGCCTTGTCCTTCAACCATGACCACAGACAAGCCCTGCATCTATCCTGCACTGACACCGGATGATCCAACCCATCTGGGTCATTCCGTCCCGCCCCGACCAGCTCCATCAAGGAACCATCTCAGAGCTCACAGCAGTGCTCAAAATCTGCTCTGTATTTCAGCTGCTAGAGAGCTCTCCCTGTGCCATGTCCAGCTCCTCACCAGCAATGCTCTGCTGCTGTCCTTTGGCCTTTTCTGTCTCTGCTAGCAGGCTTTTGTAGCTGCTCTGGGTTTTGCGGAGCTCGTCGCTTACTTCGTCCAGCCTCTTCTGCAGCATCACCTCCACCTCTCTTTGGGAAGTCTGCGCGGCAGGAAGAGAAGGCTTTAAACAGCAGGTGAGGAACCCTGGCCAGTTCCAAGCAAAGCTGTCACGCAGTGCTGTTTTGAAGCTGTGCTTTTGGGACATTTAAGTCATCTTTCCCCCATGCTCCCTGCGCGTGAAGAAGCATTTGCTTTGTGCTCTTAGTTTGTAATTTGCCAGCCCTCAAGCAGGAATTAGACAACACCCTAACGTCTCAATTCTGGGCCAAGACGACTGACGGCAGCCATCCTCCCCTCCAGTCTGGAAAAGAGAGTTAAGCTCTGAGAAACCTCTTAAAGCTCTAGTCCTTACACTCAACGCCAGCCAAGGCAGCGCTGCAGAAAGCCTCCCCTTTGCAAAGCCCCAGTCAGTGCTCAGAGCCCAAACGCACCACGCTCGGGACCATGCACAGACATCTCCAAACTTTTTTTTTTTTTGCTACTGCTTTGCTCTTGCAGCCACTAAGCGGCTTCATTCTCCGAATGCTTTTGTAGCTGCCGTTATGCAGCTGGGAGGGACGGAGGAAACACCCGTCCATCAGATGCTCTTTATGACAGGGAGATCACCCTCAATGTTCTTTGCTCAGGGAAAGCAGATGCTGTGTGCTGAAGCCCCAGCCTGGCACGGGGAGGTCCTGCCACGGCGCTTAGCAGGTCAGGGGCCTAGAGATATCCAGACGTGTGTTTCCACACGCAGTGGAATTTTCTATGATGTGGTTTGGGCCAGAGAAGACTTTTTTCCATCTTAGCAGAAGAGAAGAGGGCTGGCCAAGGCATGCGCTTCGAGGGGGAAAGCAGAGTGAGGAATATGATGAGTATGCTGAAAACCGGCAGCTCTCTGAATATGAATCATACCATTGCAAACGCCAAGCGCTTTGCAGAGGGGGGAAAGAGGAAGGCAAATTAACAGCCTGGTCTCTGTCTGAACAGTAACTCCCGAACAACCAAAAAAGGGGGATTCCTCCATTCCTTGAAGATTTGATACCATGTCCTCAACTCAGAGCTCTAGGCATTGCTATTGAGCACGCTTACAACCTGAGCTCTCCCCATCACCGCAGGTACCTTCAATGCACTGCTTGCTATTCAGGATGTATCCTTTAAAGACCCATAAAAACCTCAGCTACACCCTGACGACAACAGAAAAGCCACAAGCGCTACCTCTCTGCCAGGAAAGGAGCGCGAGGGACCTCAAAAACAGCTGAGCTGAGAGAGAGAGCGAGCACGCAAGCCCATCTGTGTGAGTACAGACCCAAGTGTGACAGGGGCTGGTGGGCTTCCTGTCACATTTCCTGGGGCAAAGAAAGGCCAGGGACTCTCTACAGACAACCGTCCTGTTAGCAAGAAGGGAAGAGAGAAGCATGAGCCATGGGGTTGCCATGCTGCTGCAAGAGAAAAGCCCTCATCCCCCAGCCAGCAGGGCTTCCAGCCCTGGGTTTTTGCCATCTGTTCACACCAGCCTTGCGAGCTTCACGGACGTGTGAAAAGAACAGTCTTAACCAGGGCCACGTGCTCCCTGGGTTTCGCTGGTGATGCTATAACAAGAGCGCGTTGCATCTGACAAACCAACGTGAGGGAGGCAAATTTGGAGATCTGCAAGGCAGCGCCTTTCCCAGCCACTCTGTCTCCAAGTCCTTCCCATGGCCAAGCCCAAGGATCCCGTGCAATTCAGTTATCCTGCATGACGCCTAAGCTGCCAGCCCCTAACCAACCTGGAACGGGACATTTTATCTAGCATGGTAAGGGGTGGGTGGGTGGACGGGTGGGTGTGCATGCGCGGACGGGTGCGGGCAGAATACATGTGCACACCATCAAGGGCACACGCACACCCTTATCTCTGAGCAGCTGAACTAACACAACCCCCTTTCCTATAGCCAGCGTCCTCCATGATCACGCTGCTGCGAAGACAGCAGTGAGAAGTCAGTGCTTGTCTGTCATCAAGCACCTTCTCCTCTGAAGGCTGGTGGTGCCTTTGCTCTAAGCAGCTCCCATCTCCATAAAGAACAAAAACAAAACCAAAAACCACCTAAACCCAACTCATAAGGACACAAACGCAGATGAACACTGCACGGGCTTGGTTCCTGCAGTGAAGCATCTCTTTTACTCTCCACCTTCATGCATGCAGTTTTAAGAGAGAAGGACCAGAAACACATGGAGATTAAGCAACCCAGACAAGATCAGAGGGAAAACAGCTGGCAAACCGCAGCACTCCTGTTCTGCTCCAGCCAGACATCCCCGTCTTGTAAACTCAAGCTGCAGCTGGCAAGGCTCCTCTTGCAAGCCGCAGCATCTCTGTGAGAAGAGCAGATTTGCTGGTGCCTGCCTGACCTGTAGCTGCTCGATCTGCTTCTCAGAGGCCACCGCTTTGATTTCCCAGGTCTTTTTCTGCTGCTCCTCCTGCTGCAGCATCTCCAGTTTTTCAGACAGCTCTTTCGTCAGCTTGTTGCATTCTTGTCGTAACTTTGCCAGCTCAGCATTTTGCCTGGACCAAGAAAAGCAGGGTTATTTTAACCTACAGGCCAATTGAGCATCCTCACTATACTTATGGGGTAATACAACCTCTTGTGGGCATAACACAGAACTTGGAAACATCTTAGCAGTTGCATTTTCCTATTTCTAGGGCATGCGTGGTCCTTCACGGAGGGGGTGGAAAGAGTTGACAGATCACTTTTCAAAAGCTACGTTTCAGTCACAAGGAGACATTCCTTTCCTATGAAGTAGAAAACATGAGGATCTGTGTTCCCAGACACAAGAGGAAGTTCTTTAAGCATCTGGAGTCCAGTCAGTAATTATTTTACTGCTGTTAATCACCAGCTATTTCTTATTTTCTATGAAAAGGAGTGTGAAATACCTCTACCTGGCTCATATTTGTTCTACATACATCAAGCAGGTCTTGGTTCTCTGCAGCATCACTTGTTTTAAAGACAAAGAACCCGCTAGATGTCTTCTGAAGTCAGAAAGCATGAGCTTGCATGAGCTGGAAAGTCCTACACAGCATCTTAATTCTGTTAGTAGAGAGAAAAAGCCTCCATTCCCAAAGCTCTGTCCCCTGACAACCGCTGTGCAGTGCAGGCAACACAGTGAGCATCTCTCATCTCAGGCCCATGCTGAGCTGCCTTCTTCCTCACGCTATCTGTTGGCTCTAGCATCAAAACAGCTCAAGGCAAACAGGGCTTCCTTCCCCTGTCCTTCCCCTTTGACATGGGCTGCAGCCTGCAAAAACACTGACGTTTCCTCTGTCGGCCACCAAAAGGCCATTTGACAAACTCTTCGTCGCCCCCTCCTCTATCTCCAGCTACCTGAAGTCGGCAATAGCCTTTGCAGGGTGGTCTCTGTACAGGCCTCTTGGAAGAGAGGACAGGCCAGCTGTGAAGGAGAGCTAACTCCTGGCGTTTGCCAGAATGCAGTCCCTGTCTCCGCTCCACACCCCGGCCCCTTACTTGCTCTCCATCTGGCTGGTGGCTTGGTTGAGCGCGTCCCTCAGGATGGAGTTCTCCTGCTGCAGGCGAGCAAGCTGGGTGTTGGGGCCATTCTCCAGCTGCTCTTGCAGAGCCCGAATCTAGGGAACCCCAACACGGGTTATTCCATTGCGAGCCCCTTTCCTCTCCCGAGAAGCCCATGTACCATCCCAGCCCAGCCTGTTAAGCACGGAGGGATGCACACGTGCACACATGGGTTGTGCAGGTGCACTTTGCCCCCTTGCTCAGTTGACAGACGTTTACAGCCCCCAGGTATGTAAAGTCTCATGAGGATGCTCCCACACATCTCTTCTCCCCGTAGCACTATGCTCCAGGCAGCCTGGGGCTAAGCGAGGTTTCTGGTTCTGCTACTTCAGCGATTCATGCAGTTACCACCAAAAAACAGATTGCTCTCGAGAGCTACCTTTGCGCTAGGAGGTGCCTCTGAAGTCTCCAGTACTCGGGACCTCAGATAGTGGTCCCTCCCCATCAGACAGCCTAAATCTCCCAGGAAGGGGCACCTGCCATCTCGTTGCATGGTGAAACCACGCACTAGGTCTCCCCTTACCTCAGTCCCACGTTCAGCAAAACCCTCGCTGGGAGACTGAACGTCATGGGCTCTCCTCCCCTCTCTAAGGCTCTGCTCCCCTCGCAGCACCCTATATGTCGATCTAATTGAAAAGGCCACAGCCACGCATCTGCTCCTCGTGTGCCAAAAGCTATCCCCCAGCCAGAGGGGAGAGCAAGACCCTAGAGCACAACACACAGCCTACCTTTCCTTGGAGCTGCTGCGTTTCATTCACGTGATCCTGGTAGCTGGCCTGCATTCGGGCTTGAACGGCAGCAATCTCTCGTTCGCGAGTGAGCAGCTGCTCTTTCAGCTTGCTTTCAACGGCCACTGCCTTGGCCTTCTCCGCCGTGAGTTCCTTCGAGGAGAGAAGCCATCTGCTTAGTTCTCAGCACTTGCTTTGAGTTTGCTTGCTTTAAGGGAACACAAAACCAGGCCTCCTGGTTTGGAAGACTTAAGAGTTCAGCTGTGTTAGAGCTACAAGCGATCTGTGAAGTCCCATGCCAAAACTGCATGGCCAAGCCACGTTGTTTAGCACTTATGTTTCTTCCTGTATTTTGTTTTGGGCTCTGTGGCCACTGGATGCCACTGTTGTTCCACATTGAGCCAGCTAAGAGAAAGGAGTAAGACAGCCTAGATTTTTTCCAGACCAATAAGCTTTATATTACACAAAATTTAGGGCAAAGCAGTGAAAGAAAGGGACATCCTCAGGCTGGGATTTGAGGGTGCTAGACCTCCTTCGACGTGGACACTACAGGAAAGCTTGCTTCCCGCCCACGTGAACGCAGACCCCTATGGCTCTTAGGACATCGCTCTCCTACCTTCCTCCCCTGCCAACCACCAGACGGGCAGGCTCACTGCTCCCACCTCCCATCAGCAGCAACGCGAGCCATGCCAAGGCCATCAATCTGGTGATCGCAAGGCCACCTCAAGGTGGCAAAAGTTCATTCTGATTTCAACATTTAAAATGAGGCTGAGGCAAGGTGCAATCTTTTAAAGAAAGCACTGTTCCTCGCTTCTTGCAGGCCACACACCTGCTCTATCACACAGTCCTTTGGGCTGACACCTCCCTGCTCCAGATCAGGCCTGGAAGCAGCGTGACGATCGGGCAGCGCAGGAGCGCAAGCGCCCACGCTCCACAGACGAAAGCTCTGCACCGAACCACCACTTTCTGGGGAAACAGCACATGGATTAAGGACCCGGACCCCACTGGCCTCTGCTTCCAAGTGGGACCACACGCAGGGACTAGGCGGTTTGCTGCACACCAGCAGGATTGCTCTGCCGAGATGGAGCAAGTCAAGATGATCAGCACAGGAGAGAGCCCATGCCAGAGACTTCAGGAAGGCCCCGCAATGCTCACCTTGCTCAGCTCCCGCAGCTTGTTTCTGGCAGCAGACACATCCTCTTGCTCGGCAGCAAGTTGTTTTTCCTTCTCCTCCAGCTGGCGTTTTAGGACAGTAACTGGGTCACCCTTCTGTGTTGCCTGGGAGAGTGAGAGAGCATGTTAATGGGGACCTCCAAATCCATCCCATTTCCTCTGTCCCTGCGTGCACAGAGCAGGAGTGGCTCCTAAACCTGCAGGAGCGGCTTCATAAAGGATCCAGCCCTTTCTCCTCCAGAACGCCCTGCTGGTTTTGTAGCCAGTAGGCCACCCAACCTGCCTTAAAACATGGAGCTTTCCTTCCTTCAGCACATCACATCCCAGCCCCTAGTCTCATCTGAGAGCTAAGGTGACAAGAGCCAATGGCAGGTGGCTCTTGGTCATGAAGAAGCAAGCATCCACAGCTCGCCACCCTACCGTATGCCAGGTATCCTGGACAATGCCCGCTTTGTCCGTCAGGATCTCGATCAGCTGCTGGGCCTCCCCCTCACTGAACACCATGCTGCTGACGGTGGACACAAGTGTCTTGTAGGGCAGGTAGAGGGGCCCATCTGAGTCCACGGGTGCTAAAGAGAAAAGAGGAGGCACTGAGACCACTCACATCAGCAGTGGAGCTGAGTCGCATTACTTGATTTTAAGCCAAACACCTTAGCTGGCTTCAGCTGGACAATTGCTTTTTCAACCCAGCATCCAGCCGGTTTGCTGCACTCATGTTTTATACCTCATTTAAACGAGAGCAATACGAGAAGTGCTAGAGAACAGACAATGCTCACTGCACAAGCATGCTTCAGGAGTCACCTAGCACTTCTGTCTGACACAACTACAGGTCACCTCCAACCCATCAAACAAAGTGAATGATCTCCCGCAGGTGCAAGACATGTTTCACCAATGCCACAGATCAGAGATTTGTTAGGCCAGGAGGGATCCGAAGTTGGACCACACCATGACATCACCTTGCAGGGTGGAGCAGAGTGGAGCTAGGAGTCCCCCTTCTTCCACCACACAGGTTTGCTGCAACTCTTTGTGAAGGAAATGATGCATCTCCAACCCCCTTCCTACCCCTCTGCGAACTTGGGAAGGCCAGGTAGCATCACGTAGTCTGTGACAGGACTGCAATGCTCTTGCAGCCCCACAGCACACAAGGTCATGATGGATAGAGGGACATGGGCAGAGATTTAAGAGTTATTCCACAGTATCCACGACCCAGTGTGCTTGTTTTTCTGAACACAATCCACATGAATTGACTCTTTGAAAAAGCAGTTTGGACTCCAATAAGCCCAGAGTCTCTAAAGGCATTAACACCAAAGTCTCTGGAATGCGGAGATCAGGACCCATTCAGGCAGCAGTTTCAGGAGAAGTTGCACAGCCCTGGGCACAACCTTCACACCACTGTCTCAGGTACCCATCCCGCAACTCCCCCACGCTGAGGAAGGGCGACCACAGAGAGGGGGAGCAGCACAAGGCCCTCTGCGTGGTGAGCTATCCCAGCCTGTGCTCGACACTAGCTCTCACCACCACCACTATTTCAGAGCTCAGAGGCAAAAAAAGAAATAAAAAATGCAGCCCATGATAGCCACCACGCTCAAAACTCTTCTGGCAAGTAAGTGACTAGACCCATCTGGCTCATGATCTTAAAACACGCGCAAGAGCAGAAGCACATGCCCACATTGCTTTCCTCTAACCCTGGGGATGATCTGTTCCCCAAGAAGCAGCTATTTGAGTTAAAAGCTCCAGGAGAGGAAAACAACAACAACAAAAACTGAAAAAAAACAGGTTCAAACTCCAGATCAGAGCAACGGAGGATTCCTCAGGGTCAGTATTACTTCTACACTCAACCGCAATTCCCTCCTGCTCCAGACACAAACTCTGCTGCATGCCGTGACCCGGGCCAACAGCATGAGTAAGGCAGCTAGATTCAGCTCCCCATGCCCTCGGCAAGCTGCCGTTGCAGCTGTTTTCCCTGTTACAAGCTGGTCCCTTACTTCTAGGCAGGTTATCAGCTGTGGCAGTACCTCTCTCCACCAAAACCAACTCTGTTTCTGTACTCTCCCAACCATGACCAGATGCTCCTACATAACCCTGAGCATCCTGCTGGCCTGAACACCGAGGTGTAAGCCCCAGCGCTACGAGGTTCGAGATCACCCTCTTGACCTCCACGCTAAAAGCATGGCTCTTCAAACCCTCGCAGATACGTGGCACCAGAGACACAGCTTGCTCCCTGCCTGGAGCCCCGAGCCCGGGAACCACATCATTGCTGAAGCGAAGATCAGGTACCAACAAGCGTTACAAGGCAAAGCTTGGGTCTCATTATCACAGCTGATGACCCTGGATCCATGCATATGTTAACCACTTTTAGCCTTTTCAAAAGGCTAAAAACTAACCAAATGAGAAAAAACATGCCAAGCCACTCATGTCTGCTTTGCCATCTGTATCAGGGCAGAGGACATGGCTTTGAACACCTAAGCACCATCTCTGCAACACCCTCCAGTAGCGGCTGCTCCTGAGCTCAAACAATTTCAAACCTCATCCCTTTGTGCAGTTGGCCTTTAGTAAAATCCTTTCCTCAGACAAGCAGATTCAAGGGTTTTCACCTGCCCTGGGAGACCTGTGGGCACAAAACTCCCCCCATCCTGCTGAGTAGCAAGTCCTCTCCTGAAACACAGGGGGAAAACTGCCAGATTACACTGCAGCTTGGGTTGGCTTGTGTTGGGGAAGGCTAGCAAGTAGGTGTTTACTTACAAAAGAAATGCACGTGGCCACGTTGCAGGCTCTAAAAACGTGAGTGCTTTCTGACCTTTCCGCAGCCCTTCTCGTAGAAGTGTTCCCACATGGACAAACAGGAGAAACCTCTCAGGTGTTCTCAAAGATGCAGTACCAAAGATAAAAACCAAACTGTTCACATCCATGCAACGAGAGGGAAGAATCCAGCTACAGAGCTATTTCTTTCCTCACTACGCCTATTTACACCCCCCTCTCCCAAGGCAGCTACCTGCATCTCCCGTTCATTCTCAGCATGCCGAGATCTGCTCAGAGACCTATGACGCAACTGCAAATCCGGGAGGAACCTGTAGCTTTCCAACATCTGTGTGCTGGACAGAGGAGCTAAGTACCAAGCAGGGGCATCCAATGCAGGAGGCAACACATTACAGGGAGAAAACAAGTCAATAAGCTCTTAGCTTCAACTCTGTTTTCCCCAGAGAGAGCTCTAGTCTTCCCAATCACCTTCCCTCTGTGCACTTGGTTCATGTCACCAGAGATTGCCTTTCTCACCAGAGATGTCATGTTTCTAACACAGAAGAATCAAGAGATCTCAGGACAGGCCAGCTCTGTTTTAACAGCACCAAGATATCCTGCTTGCTTACTCAGTGGGAATATATGCAGAGGAATTTGGCCTTACCTGGCTCGCTCTTTTTCTTGGATGCAGCCTTCTTCTTGACAGCTCCATCGTGCTTCTGCTCCTCATGGGTGGCAAGAGCATCGGCTTTCTTGACAGCAACGGAGTTGATGACTGGAGCGCTTTGCTGCGTGCCAACTGGTGGCACAGCCACAACAGGCACTTCCTTGGGGGTCGCCTCCAAGACAGGGGAACTCTTGGGGACACTGATGGGAGGTGAAGCCAACACTGGGCTAGGAGCAGGTTCCACCTTTGCCACCTTCTTTTCCTTCTTCCTCTTTTCCTTAGGAGATGGGGCAGGCTTCTCCTTTTCCTGAGGGGTCGCTGACACTGCTGCAACTGGAGACTCAATAATTACAGGCTCAGACACCACAGCAGGCTCAAGAACTACATCCTTGGAAGAGTCTGTCACTTCCTGAGTCAGCTCCTGCTCAGGTATCTTTCCATTAGGTTTCTCTTCCTTTTTCTTCGCTTTGCCTTTTTTCTCAACAGGTTTCTCTTTCTTCTTTTTCTCCATTTTGTGCTGCTGGGTCTTCTCAAGCTCTTTGCGCTGCTTGGCCAAGGCTTCCTCGTAAGATGTCTCCTTCATGGAGAAGGTGGATACCAGAAAGATTCCAATGGCTGATATCACCATGAAACCTCCAAAGACCATAACACCCAGCGTCTGAGGGTCGTACACGTCCATCCTGCCTTATTCTTCCGCGCCTGCAAGACACCAGAATGAAAGTTAGCGGAGGAAAAACCCAAAGATGCAATGGCCCAGAGCAGTGAGTTTCATACAGACATTTGTGTTTCCAAACGGCACCTTGCACCGAAACGACAAACGCTTGAGATTTGCACACCCTGGGCAGGGCCACCTGTCTATACATCCCCAAGTCCGTGCCCCTCTGCTATGTTGCCTATTCACAGCAGCTATTCCCAGTTTGTACTGCGAGGAGTAATTTCAATGACGGTAGCAGTCTCCAGAAAAACCCAAAAGGGGGGAAAAGAAAAAAAAAAAAATTACACCCTTAGCATCTGCACCCTGCGGTAACAGCAATTTCTGAACATATAGCTCATCTCACAAAAACGCGAGCTGGAGATGCTGCATGCGGAGCGGCTCTCCCACGCTCCACAAAGACACATGGGGCTGCGATGGTAAAGAGGGTGACGCGACATGCATCACGGCGCGACATGTGCTCAGGAATCTCACACCCGGGCTGTTGCAGAGAGCAGCACCCGTGCAAGCATCCCGAGAAGGGGACCTCTCTGCAGCAGCCTGCAGCTCTGGTGCAGTGAGGAAAACGCCCTGCAGCGAGGTCGCGTGCACGTACACCACACCGAGAACCAAGCCATGGCCATTTCCTTGAGATGCAAATACCAATAAAAGTCCTAAGTTCAAGCTTAAAAACAAAATAATTCATCAATTATCTCATCTTCTCCAACCGAGGCTTGCAAGAAGCAGCGAAGGAGACTTGCAAAGGGAATACTGGATGCGGCGCTTCTCTTTCCACCTCTGCTATTAGCCTGGCAGGTAAAACAGGCACAGGACACGTCCTTCCCCACCTCCTCTTCAGCCTCAGTTTCTGCCTCCACAAGACAATAAGCAGCAACAGAGACCCACCACAAGAGAGAGTGGTTTGGGATCAGGCAGGAGGTGTGCAGCCACACGGGGAGGAGGTGCTGTTATGGCACTCCACTTAACTGCTAATTAAACCTTGTCCCAAGCTTATAAACCAATCTGTTCCCTGCTGTCCCACTCATGTGTTTCTCCTGTCTGGGCAAAACCTCCCTGTGGCCCCGAAATGGCTCATTAATCCTCCGGCAGGAATGCTGAAGGGGGTTAACCTAAGGAGGGGCACCTTCCAGGACATGCAAAGCTGCAGTTTCTTGCCATCGTGCCTAAAAGCCATAATGGGGAAAAGGCAGAAAGCCCTCGGCTATCAGCAGTTCCCATCTCCACACTTAACTGTGAAAAATTATCAAATTTCCTCTTTAAGAGGTTGTCGGTTGGGGGCAGGGGGACTGGAAGCAGAAGAGGCAGAATAAGAATAACACGAAGGAGATGAGCATCTTTTCAAAACCTCAGGACTTGAAGGGAGAGACCTCAGAAGTTTTTTTGGCACCGCAGTGACACGTTACAGAAAAGGCGCGAAAAGAGAGCACGATGGAGCACTGCAGCAGAAACTCGCTCCACCTTTGCTCTTGCAGCGAGTGGGGCAACTATGCAACGAAGACGGCCGCTTCAGGACACGTCATTACACATTGAGGTTCTTCTCCAGCACCGGAGCAGGGCACGCAGAGCCGCAAAACAGCTGTCTCCCACCGGAGACATTCACCTGCGCGGGGAGGGGGATTTCCATCAGCAGCCTGGCTCTCCCTCTCCAAGCATCCCCGGCGAAGCTGGGGAAACTTGGCAGGCAGGAGAGCTTCAAACGCCAGCTGGAACGAGCTTCCACCAAAAGTGCCAACTGTCTACCACGGGCGCTGCTCTACATCCCAGGTGATGCTAGAGACCTTGCTATTTCAGGTCCGCCACATTCAGCTGGGATTTAAACACCCTCCCTCCCCAGCATGTTTGATATTCGGTCATATCTCTCCAATTACGCTTGCAATGAAGCGAGTGCTCTGGGATCCTTCCCGCTATGATGGATTACTCCGAACCTACTGGGGGAAGAAGGCAGAAATTCCTCTCCCCAGCAGTAACTAGAAATTGGGACCCCGGGGCTGGAGAGCACAGACCCACTATGGAGCACTGGTTTTAATGGTGGCACTGAAGTGTCTGGGACCTGCTAGGGATGGTTTTAGGGACAGGAACAAGAAGATCTGTGTTCCTGGCCCAGCAACCCTGACAGATGGGTAAGAAGAAACCCTTCCTGACGCCACTCTAGCACATACTCATATTTAGATTAAATTTGCTGTTCCATCTTCGGGCAAGAGCATCACCCAGCTCGGACACAAAGTCCGAGCAAATATACTCCAACCCCATCAGCTGCTACCACCTCCCCCAAAAGGCAGCTGGAAGGAGCCCACGGAGGATGGGGTCGGAGAGGCAACCGCCTGGCGCTGGGCTGGAGAGAGGAGCAGCCTTGGCAGCTCGGAAATCTCAGCGCTCCACTTCAACCTCTCACCGAGCGGAGACTCGAGCCACGAGGTTGGTGAGACCACGGTGCCCAAGCGCCTCACCGGCCCTGTGGCCCACCCTGGGCCGCTGTCCCTCTCAAAGGCCCTTCAACGAGACCAGGAGCAGGGTGTCGTGCCACAGCAAGAGCCCGGGAGAGCCACACGCTCCCTGCGGAGAGCCTCACCCAACGTGCTGCAGTAAAAGCCAACTGTACCTTGCCTCCTCTCAGGTTTTACAGCTGGAGGGAGATAAGGCTGCAGATTAGCATGAAAAAGTCCTTCCTAGCCGAACAAAACACAGCAATGACAAAACAAAACAAGACTAAACAAAACAAAACAAAAAAAAAACCCACCACCCACCCCAACCAAAAAGCAGCCCACAGCACCCAGCACAAAGAGGCCCTGGTTGCCCCACCAGGTTCCCGCAGCTTTAACCATTTCGCTGCATCCAGCCTCCAACGCAAGGGAGAAAAATTGATCTGGTCAGTTAATGTCAACATGGCTAAACTGCAGAAAAGGGGCTCCATTCATGCATTTTCTGCCAAAGCTGCGGAGCCTCTTCACAAGGAAAGGGGCAGCACGCCATCCCGCAGACCTAGGAAAGCTGCGGACACCTCATCCCTGCTGGAAGTGGAGTCTCAGCCGGCGAAGTTCACAAAATCTCTGCAGCTACTCACACGTGGCCGCTCGCAAGCCAACGCCGCCTGATGAGATAAACCCAGGATTCAACCCTGCCGCTATCCCGAGGACCGGCATGCCCTTGCTGCGAGAAGATCCGAAACGAGGACGAGAAATAACAACTGCGCAGCAATTATCAGAGAAGCGTTATCACAGCAAAGAGAAACCGAGTCCCGTCTCAAAGCTCGTCCTCTGCAGCATTCAAAGCCCCCGGCGCGAGGCTGGGTCCTGCGCCGACCCGCGCGCCGCCTCCAAGGAACAAGTTACACCAGTGGCGTTCCTCTTGCGGCCGAGACTTGGCACAAACTGGCCCAACAGCTCCTTTAAGGGAGAGCCTATCACTCCGACAGCAAAAACAGCGGCAGGTTACAGGATACCACGTGCATTTAAAATTAAACCAGACTGGATTCAGCATTTTGGGGGTAAAAAAAAAAAAAAAAAAGAAGTCTTCCTTTGGGAACTTCCGGATGCACAAACGCACGCAGCAACGTACGGCAACGTTAACGGCAGGAGCAAAGCTCTGCGTTGGTGTTTCCTGACCTTGCCTTCTTCCCAAGGAACTTCAGCATTCTCCCTTCAAGGAGCCGGAAGTTTGTTTCGGCACTGGCCTCGCCAGATACGCTCACGATCTCGACAGCAGGGGAGCTTTTTTCAATTTGATGCCCGAACTCTTTTGGGAGAGGGCCTGCACGCCGCTCCGACAGCGCGCACGGGCGGCACCAGCCATCAGAGTCACCGTCGGAAAGATAAAGCTCACGTCCTGTGCAGAGCGTACTTACCTGCGTGCAGCTTCTCAAACAAACAGGACTATCCTCCAACCATCGCCCAGTCAAAGCAATGAAAATCACCAAATATCGCCATATGTCAACGCCCTCCTGCTCCTTCCTCTAAATAACTTGCTCAGATAAAGCTCTTGGCCGCCACCAAAACAGGAACAAGACAGCTAGCTGATATTTCACTTGCTACGAAAGAAAACAAAACTTTGCCTTCTCGCGTAAAAGAGCCAGCAAAAAAAAGCCGGGCTCTAACTCTTCAGTTCCTGTGGTTTTTCTTCCAGTTATCCATGAAATTTCCAAATATCCCAGGAGACAGGCTAGAAAAAGGGACTTCCCCCGCCGCCCTGGGGCACGCACTCACCTCTCCTTGCTCCGAGCAAACCTCCTAACGTGCTGTAAGGCAGCAAAGCCAGCAAGGCACTGAGCCTTGCCGAGTTTTAAGCGCAGGACAATTTCCAGGACTAACCAACTCGCGTCAGCACGGCACGCCGGCACAAGGGCCAAGCTCAGTGTCTCGCAGTTGCGTTTGCCAGAGACCTGCAAGAGCCAAAATCAGGATCCAGCCTCCCCACCTGTCCAGGTTTTCTCCTCTCTGCAAACACTTCCACGAAATGCACAGGAATCCGGTCTCTTTGAGACTTTCACCTCCATCCAGCTGGGTTTAAAGCAGCCAGGTCAACTGTTAGGCAGGCAGGAGTAAAGGAAGAGACAGGTTGTATCGTTACAGAAACCTTATTTCCTTATGCAGACAGAGGAAAATACATACACTATCGATCCCTGCCTTTAAAGAGGTGCTTCGGATGGGAAAAGAAAAGATGCTCCACCTGCAATCCAAGACTTGTACTCTGCCATAGCGTCAAAGCAGCATCCCAAGTTAACGTAGAAAAAGAAGCGAGTGGGTATCGGAGGGGAGAGAAAGAGAAAACTAGGGTCGTGCAGCTGGGCTGGGCTTTGCACAGTCTGAAGGAATACCTGCCTGCAAAGTTGTGGTTTTGGAAAGGGGGGGGAAAAAAAAAAAAAAAAGTTTCCAGGCTGAGATTTCATCTTCTTCAAAGTGCAAAATTCCCTTGCAGGACACGGGGGCAAGCACCTCAGAGACCGAAGGGACCGTTTCGGGAGGCCACTGACCAGCCTTCCAGCGGTTCTGGA